TTATTTTTAATTTTATTTGTCGCGCTGCTGATGACGTCACGTACGCGCTTTGATCGGGCGCGCTTTAGTGGACCGCGGTTTTGATGGGTCACGGGCCAATGCAACTTAGTGCTAATAGGGCAAAAATATCACAGTAAAATACTGCTGTTTTATTTCTTTCATGCTGGATTAGATTTTTTGTTGTCGAAGTATTCATACTGCAAATCATTATTCCTAGTAATAGTATTAATAATAAAAATCACTATCCGTTAATTACAAAAAGTAGCTTTACTTGGAACAGTTTGCATCCTGTGACAATACCTTGAACAACAACTCCTATCCCAGGCCCTTGAGTAGGTCTCAATTGACGGATAAAAATGCCGATTCCAGTCTATAAACATCTTGACTGATTGCGTGTAATAATAGATTATCGTGTTCCGGATGCCTTAATACCTGTTAAGGAATATCATTTCATTCCCAGCTTTCTTTGGCAATATTCCATAGTTTGAACCGTCTGTTATTTTGTTTTTTTTCAGGTTATTGAGATCTCTGACTATCGAGCAACGCTGTATGACTATCTGAAAAACAGAATGATGGCTATTGCACCTAACCTCACTATTATGGTGGGAGAACTAGTAGGAGCGAGGCTTATTGCCCATGCTGGTACGTTGCAATTCTGAGTTTGTGCATTGGTTGTGCGCCGCATCCTTTACCATAATTACCTTGGAGATTAACTAAACAAGAAACCATCATGCAGAGATTGCATTGTCAGGTCAAGAAGTTGATGATGATGACAGTATTTGAACTTTGCTGGATTTCCGCTTGGAAGGTGAAAGCAACTTTAGTCACTACCTCTTCTGAGAGACTTCTTGAGCCGTTCTCTGCTTTTCTCACTCATTCACTCCCAAATGCCAGATTGATGCTGCCCTTAGGTTATTTTCAAAACATTTAATGGGGAAGATGAACTTAGGTTCAGGATTCTCCCTACAGTTCTCAGAAATTGTACAGTGATGCCCATCCCAATGAGGCCTTTTGCTCCTGTTACCTAGATATCATTAGCCAGTTTGGAGGGTAAGTAGGCATGGGGCTTGTCATTTCCAAATCTTGAACGTAATGAATTTGTAAAGGGCCTATTTCAGAGTTTACGTCATTCATATAATCTTCTATTATATCTTGTCTGCAATAGGTTCCCTGCTGAATCTAGCGAAGCATCCAGCGTCAACAGTTCAGATTCTGGGAGCTGAGAAAGCACTTTTTAGAGCACTGAAGACCAAGCGTGACACTCCAAAGTTTGGTCTGATTTATCACGCTTCCCTTGTAGGACAAACAACAGCTAAAAATAAAGGAAAGGTAAGAGGTTGGACAATCGCTTGCTGTGTTGTTCTTGCTTTTGTTTCTGAAACAGGCAGATTGAGATATGGCAAGTTTAATTTGTAGGGGATAAGAAAATAAGTAAGGAAGGGTGCTTAAAGTTCGGCTTGATTTTCAGTGAGGTTTTTGTGCATCAGTCAAATCTAGCGTACTTCCAAATAATATACAGTGCTTTTGCTCTACATGACCTCTGAATAGTTCAATGGCCTAAGAACCATTAATACAATGGTTCCTGTTCTGACCCTCTCCTCCATCCAGTAACAAATGCCGAGACAAGCTTAACTGGAATGTACTTTAATAGCAAGACACCAAAACCTTGGTGGCTGAAAGCC